ATACGATACACCCACTGTAGAGTAATAGACCAATGGTCAGTAAGGGCGGGACGCCCGATGATGCTCCAATGCAAGTATCTTGATGGCCGGGATGGTTGGGGGGAGTTGTCTTTGCCTCGGGTCGGCCGTCGGTCGAGTGGGTGTGTGACCATGAATACGGAGCAGGGGTACATCACAACCCGAAGGGGCAGAAGGGGTTTGGAAGGCAGGCTCCCCTAACCCACCGACGCCCGGATGCCTGGTGCGATGTTGTTTGCGGGCGTAGCTGTTCGTTTCATTTAGGCCGTGAGGCGGCCTTTGTCGCAGGAACGAAACTCGTTTTGGCAATTTTACCAGGATGATGTTTAGGCGACGGTTGCCAGGGAGGTGGGTGAAGGCGACATTAGGCGGGGCGTATCTGATGGGGCGGGAATGGAGTGCCCGCGGAGTGGTCTTCAGGCCATGCCGATAATTTTAGAATTTTGACCTCTCTTCCAAGTGCGCGAAGGAAAGGAAGAAACCATGCCTCCGACGCAGCACTGGTTGATTATTGGGCGTCTTGGGCGGGTCCAGTGCTGTTTCGATGTTATCTTGGACCGTTGTTTGACTTCCTTGGGCCGTTTCGGCGTTGTCTTGGATTTTGCTGGCGATCGGTTAGGGCCGTCTCGGTCCGCTGAACAGGCCTCGGAGGCTGTGGGGACGTGGTTCGGAGCTTCAACCTGGCTGGGATTCCTCCGCCACCACCCCCGCCCTTCAAACGGCATTTTGAACTCGAGAGGGGGGGGAAGGGGGAGGGGATAGGGGCGGGGCATTCCGCCTGCGATTTCCAAGGAAAAGGTGACAACCCACGAATACTAACGGTGGACATAAGTCGAAATACCATAAGAATGGTTACCGAATGGGCGTCGACACATCCCGCCACCGTGCTTGGGCTGCGGGTTTGAGGCCGCGCAGATGACAGACGGGGTCCCGTTGGAGACGCTTCGGGGGCGTATGGGAAACAGTCGTTCAACCGCTCGGTGGCCTCGTGGAGGCGTGGATTCGCGGAGCCAGCCACGCTGTGATCGCGCACTGCCCGAAGAAGATCACCCACGGCCATTGTCAGCATACGGCTGCACAGTCGGCGTCACTGATCAAGCGAGCGCAGCTGTTCGCCCCGCCTCCACCGCATTAGATTCCCAAGGGTTTTGCGCTTGAGCGAACTAGCGACAGCAGCTCGGGATGGCAACGCCTGGGGCGATGGATGGGCGCCGCAGGCTGGCAGGGGTAAAGGCAATGGAGGGGGCGAGGTAAAGGAAAGGATTCGTTTATTTAGTCATGCCCCCGTGTGCGCATGCTATGTGCAGCAGCGCCCCTGCAGGAATGACTTGGTTCAGTCAGGAAAAAAACGCCCCGCCCCGCCGCGCGCGCCCGCCCAGCCTGCCGCGTCTTGTCCATTTGTCGTGTCGACCGAAGCTTCGGCCGCACTGCCTCCCATCGCCCGAGTGCCGCACTGCCCGGCTTAATCTGGCCTGTGAACTCAATTCGCTGGCGTGGAATTTTGGCATGGACGTGGAAGAGGCTGGACGCCCTGGCTCGCTCCTCGTTGTTTTAGCTATGCACAGCGCAGCCCGCGTCCGCAGTTCAGGGGGGTGGATCGAGGCGTCCCACATCGTCAATGCTAGATGATGACGGGTAGATAAAGCGCGGGCATGTTTCATGCGCGCCCTCGCCCAATTTCTTTTCGACACGATCCAGTTCCTTGACGCGAACATGTCGGGCGCCGACGCCAGCCCGACCGCTGGGCGGGGCGACTGGGGCGATAGTTTTGGGCGTCATCCAACAGAGGGCGACTATGTCGACAGAGGAGTACCGGCGGCGGAGCCAACGGCCAGAGCGCCGTTGATGTTCCGCGCTTGCAAGGGCCATTCCGCCCGGGGCATTGACCCGAAGCGCATGTGCAGCAGGTGCGATGCGGCGGCGAGGTCCTCCCGCCAGGCGAATTTCCGTGGGCGGCGCTGCAACGAAGCGGTCTATGACCAGACGCATCGAATCGTCACAGAGGGAACTCGAAGGTGTTCGGCAGCATCGCTTCATTACCTGTTTGCTTACTCAGCTTGGACCATACAAGCCCCCAAGTGACGCAGTTGTCTGGAGTGGAGAATAGGGTTCCTATGGGTCGGTCAGGCTAGTCGAGTCAGCCCAGATCGGCGAGTGCGGCGAAATGCCCGGAGCGCTGCCGTAGCGGCTCAGACCAGGAGGATGGGCGAGAGCGGTGACTGGCCAGGCGTTATATGCCAGTGTTTTCGGTCTGGATGTCCACGCCCGCTCTCGAAGACTCACGTGCTCACCTTTGAGCCCCGCGTCTTCGATAATCAGGACATGTGGATACAGCGGGACGGCGCGCTGGCCACCACCTTCCGCCCCAAGTGGAGCGACATTCGCCAGAACATGCGGCTCATTGCGTCTGGAATACAGCGCTCTCGGGCATCGTGGACGTTGGTCCAGGACCGCCGTTGCGCAGCGCTCCATGCCTACCCCGATTGCGGCGCGGCTTGCGTCGATTTGGTGAAGCAACAACACGAGCTGTATCGCGCGCCCAACGTGGGCACCAGTGACGAGCTATCTTCCACGGAGAAGAAGGCCGTAATCGGATCGGAACGCTGAGCTGTCTCACGCGCAGGGCGCACGTGCAGCGCGGAACCCGCATTTCCGAACCCGACGTAATTCGGCCGAATATTGTCTACAGCGGCATCGATCTAGACGCAAGGGCTCGCTTGGACCATGCCCGCGGCCGAGGGGCGAGGAGATGGAGTAGTGCCGACGCCGATCCCGCGCCTGCAAGGACGCGCGAGGAGTGGAAAGACGCTGGCGCTGCGGGAAGAACTACCCGCAGAGACAGCGCGACACAAGGCAAAATTGCTTTTCACTGCAACATCATGACAGACTTTGCCTGTTTGCCCACGCCCCCAGATGAGGAGTTACCCGCGCCGCGGCATCCCTATAAGCTCGACAAGACGAGGAGGTTGTCTCGGAGATATATCAAGTTCCAGAACAACCGCCTCGATGCGCATGCGACACGGAAGGATGCGGTAGTCGCCCGAAGGCGTGGTTGCCATGCAGTAGCAGGGGGGATGAACGAGGAAGACCATGCCATCCTGAACCCCTTTGACCAGGGGCTACGCCCATCCAGCTGAGCGCCGCGATGACGAACCAAGTGTCGGATGGCCCGCGTGGTGCGTGGCGGCCCCAGGGGCAAGGGAAGTCGAACTGCTCGCCCGTCTGAAAGGCTGCCGTGGAGGTGGAGATCGCGGACCGCGGGCCACAGGCAGAGTTCCGATGGGCCCCGATGCCGAAGGCGCGTGCGCCGAGCACAGAGGCGCCAGCCGACCATGTCGGAGCCGGCGCATCTTCTCGCGAGCCATCTGCCATGGGGGCTAAGAGGTCGCATTTTGCGATGCCTGAGGGCCGCGCCACAGCGGCAAGGGCGTCGGGCGACGCCACGGGCAAGGGGGGGGACAGCGAGAGCAGCGGCAAGGGAGCAAAGAGGCCAAGCAGTCGCGCGCCAGATGGTCAACGAGAATCCAGGCGGCGCCGAGCTGAGAACCTTGCGCAGTGAGACGCGTCCTACAGTGCGGGGGCTGCTGCTTCGAGTTCCACGCCTGCTGCGATGCCTCTTGCAGCTCGTGACCATCGGTATCAAGACGCACCGTGGTGCGCCAAGGCAGACGCCGCGCGGCGCCGGGCGGGCGAGGACAGGGTGCCCCGCCCATGGCGCGCATGCGCCGACGCGGGGCAGCAAACTACGGATTCCTCTTCTCTGTGGCGGGGAGGTGCCGCAAAATGGCGGTCGCCGCGGCGATGGGGCTCGGGCAGCTTGCGCGATGACGGGGGGGGGGGGGCCGAGACGATCGCGGTTGGAGGTGCGAGGGAGAGAACTAAGGGGGAAACGCGGCTGTGCCGGGAGTGCTTTTTCGAGACTCACAATCGCGGGTCAAATGCGTCTGTTTGGGATGCCCTAGCATTGAGGTGCCATGCGCCCGCGTCTTCATGCATGGCGAGCCAGACAGCGGGGGCGCTGTCTGCCGGGCGCTACGTTGCACAGCGCTTCTGTGAAACATCGGGGCGCTACCTAAATCAGGCACGCCCGCCCGCGCGAGCGGAGCTCGCCGGGTTGGCCGCGGGGGGGGGGGTGATTTAGTCATCCCCCCGCGCGCGTATGCCATGCAGCCTGCGCAGCGACGCCGCTGCAGCTGCGAGTTGGCTTTGTCCGGGAGAAAAGCGCGCCGCCCCGCCGCGCGCGCCCGCCCGGCCGGCCGGGTCTCGTCTCTCTGTCGCGAGTACCGAAGCTTAGCGGACATTTTACAAACATGCAGCCATGGCGACAATCTGTACATCAATTATCAACCAGATGAACTTGAGCAAAAGACTGTTGCAGGAAGAACATGCAGAAACAAGCAACAACAATATGAACATTACCGCAGCTTGCTTATACCTTGGGCCCATGCAAGATCCCACATTAACAGAAACTTGGCAACATATTGAATTTGATGGGGATGGGGATCTGCCAGGATCGCGCTGCGAATGGGGATGTGGCTGAGGGCGTTGATTTCAGGGGGGAACCAGAGGGGGGCATGGGGAGGCGAGGGCGAGGTGCCTGACACTCCAGAGTGTTAGAACAGAGCCCTCCTGGGCCTGGCAGGTGACGGGCAGCCAAAATCGAGCTTAGACCGTAGTTTCCATGACAGAACGACCCCGCCCTCTTGCGCACCCCCCCCCCCCGCCCCGCACTCTCCCCCGTTCCGGGGCGGGGCGAAGGGCGAGGGGGGCAAGCGTTGCCCGGATCGTCGGCTCTGAGCGATCTTTTCCATACTTGAGCGCAGGCGCCTCTCTTTCAATCGTCCTTGTGAGCAGCGTTGGAGGGCATGCCCGCAGCTTTGCCTCCGCGCAAAGCCCCATTCCTGACCCCCCCTGGGTAACGCTCTGGCCCCGCGCCGTACAATCCGCCGCCGATCCCGACGAGTGCCGGCCGGCCCCCCAAGGTGCGCACACCGCGGCGTCAGGACGGCCCGCCCGCGACGCCCAGCCCCGCGGGAGCACGTTTCCCCTCCTTTTCCCCCTCCCCCTCCCCTTCCTTTTCCTCCTCCTCCTCCTCCTCCTCCTCCTCCTCCTCCTGGTCCTTTTTGTCTGCCTTCCCCTGGTCTCCTCCACCTGGTCCCCCTCGTTTTGATGTTCCTCCTCCTCCTCCTCCTCCTCCTCCTCCTCACTCCTCCTCACCTCTCTCCTCCTCCTCCTCCTCCTCCTCCTCCTCCTCCTCCTCCTCCCTCCTCCTCCTCCTCCTCCTCCTCCTCCTCCTCCTCCTCCTCCTTCTCCTCTTCTTGGGAGAGGAGGAGGAGGAGGAGGAGGAGGGGAGGAGGAGGAGGGAGGAGGAGGAGGAGGAGGAGGGGAGGGAGGAGGGAGGAGGAGGAGGGAGGAGGAGGAGGAGGGGAGGAGGAGGAGGAGGAGGGGCGGAGGCGGAGGCGGGGGAGGAGGAGGATGAGGAGGCGGGGAGGAGAAGAGGAGGAAAGGAGGAGGAGGTGAGGAGGAGGAAGAGGAAGGAGGAGGAGGAGGAGAGAAGAGGAGGAGGAGGAGAGGAAAAGGAGCAAGAGGAGGAGAAGGAGGAGGAGGAGGAGGAGGCGGAGGAGGAGAAGGAAGAAGAATAAGAAGAGGAAGAGGAATCTGAGTACGAACAAGAAGACTCTTACTACGAATAATAATGCAATGAAGACAACGAAGAAGAACAGGAGGAGGATGATGAGGAGGAAGAAGGAGGAGGGGAACAGGAAGAGGACGAGGACGAAGAGGAAGAGGAGGAGGAGGAGGAGGAGGAGGAGGAGGAGGAGGAGGAGGAGGAGGATAGGGGGAACTTAATAGGAGCAGGACGAGGCGAGCAGGGCCTGGGGCCTGCGAGTCCTAGACTTTTTGGTGGGCTGGTTCCTGGTGCTGGGTCCTGGGAGGAGGTCCTCCGGGCTGGGTCTTGGAGGGTCCCAGGGACCTCGGAATGCTGGGTCCTGGGGTGTCCCGCGGCCGAGCGTCCAGGAGGCAGGTTCGGCTAGAGGGGTGATGAGGATAGAGGGAGAAGGAGGGAGGGAGGAGGGGGCGTGGCAGAATGCCTCGGCTCTTGGCCCGTCTGAGGCTTTGTGCGGGCCCCTGGACCCCCAGGGGGGGAGTCGTATCTGACGCGGGAGCCCCCTCGGGACCCCCCCCCCCGGGACTCCCCTGGGACCCCTTCCGGGACCCCCTCCCCCCACCCGGCAGGGAAGGGATCACAGGGAACGGGCTTCCCTTCGACTCAATGACAACGTTGCTCTTGAGGTGCAGGCCCTGGAAAAGCGGGGGGGAGCGGCGACGGGCCCAGGGAAGAGGGGGAAAGGGGAGGAGGGGAGACGAACACAGGGAAAGGGGGAGCGCAGGGACAGGAGACGACTGGTCCAGGGAAAGGGTGAGCGCAGGGACAGGAGACGACGGAGACGACGACGAACGAACGACGGGAATGGACAAGCCCCTCACACTCGCCGACACACGGTCGGCGGAATTTTCCATGCCTTACACATTTGCCGTCTCACTTGCCTCGTCTTTCGCTTTTCTGTCGTCTTCTCCTTGTCGTCGCCGTTCCCCTTGAAGCGCGGGCGGAGCCGTTGCAGGCATCTTTGTATCAACACAGCTCGCGTCCCGGGACACCCCCTGCGGCATCGCCCCGCCTAGTCCCCCTTTGCGGCAGCTTTTCGTTACCACCCTCCATTTTCGCATCCCGTGCAGGCCCCTGGCAGGACCTTACGACCGTCGTGGCCAGAGCTTTCGGCATTTACAGCGGCCGCGCCGGTGTCGCCGTCGACGGCTCCCACGACTCCGCCCTGTCGCCTGCCATCTTCAGCCTCGACGGGAGCCAGTTTTTCTCGAACTATCGCCGAGGTTGTCGACGCGCTGGCATGGGCATTCGCATTGCCATGCTGATGGAGCTGCTGCTGCACGCTTCCAGCCGCACCGACGGCATTGTCATGCACTTCGTCGTCCTGGACGTCGAGCCCGGCATCACGACCTACCAGGGAGAAAAGCTCATGCGTCTCCCTCCCTCGCTTGCACGGCTGGGCGCGGCTCTTAAATTAGATGAGGCCTCTGGCACGCATACGATGGGCATAGTCTTCTTCAGCGCGTTTGATGCAGGACGCTGGCCGCATCCAGGGCACTCGCGGAGTCCAGCGGCGTGGAGCTTGCGACGCCCAGAAACCCCATGTATGTGGGCCACGCCCGGCCGGTCGCCATCCTGAGTTCCGAAGTCGATTGCCCCATCGAGTAAGGCATCGCGATCTCCTGGCGGCATGCCGCGGGGAGCTTCGACGTGGCCGGCCCCAGACCTTCGACCGGCACTTCTGGTACCCAGTCTGACGCCGGTGTCGACATATGCGTGGTCCCGGATGCCAGCGCCTTCGGCAATGCCCACGTTGAAGTTGTTCCATTGCTACTCTCCCGCGGCCGCTCCCAGGCCGTGCGTTCAAGAGTTTTGACCCCGCCGCGATCCCAGAGTTCGAGCTACACCGTCTTTTTGCCGAGACCCCACGACATTGATGGGTCGTTTTCGGGGGCCAGCCGCATGACTCCAGCGAGCTCCACGCGGACGAACGGTGCAGCTGCAGGATGGGCTTGGAAGGCGTTCAACATCACCCTTGGCGGACGGGCTCTCCATTCCCACCCGCCCACTCGCCTCGTCGGGGCGGCTGAATTGCACCACCTTCATCACGCGCGCAGCCGTGCAGCCACGGCGTCTTCGGCATCTTGCGTGTCGGCCAGCCCGCGAGCCCCGTCTCCAGAGGACCCGCCCCAGCAACGTGTCAGCTTGCTGCTGGACTCGCTGCTTTCTCTGCTTGCTTTCGCCGTGCGGGTGCTGACCCACCCTGTGACCACGCAGACGCTGCACTTAATCCTTGGCCCCATGCTGCCTAAGCCGGCCTTCCCGTGCGTCGCGGTTTTGGTGGCCGGTTTTTCGCCAACATCCTTGCGCATTTTGGCTTTCGGTGCCGCCGCGCACGGGCTACCAACGCAACGTGCGCTCGGGAATTTGTGTTCCGCCGCCGCCCTAGCCGAGCAGCTCCGCTACACGATACCAATTTGCATCACGGCCTCGCTCTGGGCAACCTGCCTTCTCAGCCCGGTGGGGTACCGCGCTCCGCCTTCTTGGCTGGCGGTCTGCGGACAAGTCTTCATGATCGCGAGGGCCGTTTTCACGCCCGCCATCCCTGACGAGGCAGGAGCCCGCGACGAACGCCCAACATCACAGTGCGCAACACGTTTGTCGAGGTCGGCGATGGCGCGGGGGCCCGAGGCCTGCCCGGACGCCAATTCCGGCGGAGGGCGACCAGCCGCTGCTCGAGCTCCCCATGGGCCAGCTGAACAAACGGGGTCGTCTGCGCCGACACTGGCGCGTAAGCTGCCCGCGTAAGGTCGCGCGTAAGCGCCCTCGCTTCAAATGCGGCGTGCATCGCGGGCGGCCCGCGCAAGCCACCGCGTGAGATCGTTACGTCGTCTCGCGTAAGGCCCGTTTTGGATTGTCACTTGAGATCACATGGAGATCGAAACCGGCATCCTCTCGAGGAGTCCCGCCGCTCCGGTGCGTTAGCGGAAGCATGGGGCTCTCTCTGCGCAAGAGCCGCCCCCCGTGCCGGTGCCCAGCAGCCAGGGGCCAACGACGCCGAAGTTGTCCTCCCGATGTGCCATTCCGCTGTCACTTGGTGCAGGTGCTCGCCAGCTGCAGCCCCCGCCGTCGCCTCGAATCCGTCGGGCCAGGGCCCGCCGTCGCCGCCGCCCAATGATGTGGCCGGCAGCCGGCCGGCCCGCGGCGCCGCCCCTGCCTTCGCCCAGGCGCGAGCAGTCGCGCAGGTTCCGCCGTGCCCGAACATACTGGATAATCTTCGCTGCGACCCCCCGATCCGAAACTTTCCCCCCCACGCGTGCCCTTCCGCAACGGGCACTACTGATACCCATGGTGCCCTGACCAGGACCTGCGCACGCATAGCGGTTTCGTGCAGAACTTCCCGTCGACGCGCGCGAGCCAAACCATGGACGCCAACATGCGGGACACGGCTGTTGCCTTCCAGTGCCGCGTCTGCGCCTGTTCTTTTTGCGGCGGCCTCTGGCCACTTGAATTATGCACGTGCGCCCGCTGCCTGCAGACGACGCCTTGCCGCCCCCATGTCGTCGGCGACGTCGTTACGAACGCCGCGACTGCAGCGTATCGTGCGCAAGGCCGCGACGACGCCGCAGCAACCCAAGACCCTGTGCAACCCGCCGGCGACGCCGTCGCCCTCGACGACGGCCCTGTAGTGGGCGCGCCCGCTTTGCCGCTCGACTTCACCCGCCGCGTCCGCGCCCTGGGCCACAGCGCGTGTGCCCACGTGCCCCATCAGCTGCCGCTCCCGCCTCTTCCGTGCCACCCGGCAGTGCTGGAACCGCTGCGCCGACGGCGCCCCCGAGTGGTCACAAGTAGAGGAGGCGCGCTCTAAATTCAGAGTATTGAGCGCACGTCCTCGAGGGCTCGCCTGCCCTTGACGAGGTCACCCTGCGCCTGGGGCTGCGGAGGTCCAAAGACTTCGCTGCCCTGCCGGACCGCCTGGAGCAGCAGCTCTCGCCAACCAGACCAAGCGACGGCGACGCGGGGACACCGTCGATTCCAAGAGCAAACAGCGGCGCGCGAAACACTTCGCTGTTGAGGGGGCTTTCCGCAAGGCCGCCCTCGCGAGCGACGCTTTGCAGAGTGGCGCCGAGGAGGAACTCCGCTACGCCCGCCGGCGCGCCGCCCGACCCGCAGGCCGCCCCACCGCGGGGCTTGCCTCCCCAGCGCAGCCCTTCCCGGCGGTGGCCGCCCTGCCCGCCGACCACGCCGCGCCAGCCATCCCCGACGGCAGCCACGATGACGACGACGGGACCATGGGCAACCCCCTCGACGGCGTCCGGCGGCCGAAACTGCTTGCTCCGGGCCCCGCGGGCACGCTACCACAACGGCCCGCTCGCTTATGAAACGCTTCAACTACATTGGCATGCTTAGAACAGCTTCGGTAAGTGCACTTCTAAGACATATCCAGATTTGTACGCTCAGTAGATTGCGACCCCGCATCCCATTTAGATTGAAGTCGCTGAAAGAGCGAGTTCAACCGCTACTGGCGGAAAACCGGGGGAGGGTCACTACCGGTTCGAACCCCCCCCCAGCTCATCATGAAAGGGGGAGGGGGGGGGTCGCTGCCGGCTCGAACCCCCCCCCGTCGAACTCGAAAGACTTGTGGGTCACTACCGGTTCGATACCCCCCCCGCCCTCGAAAACCGAGGGGGGGGGGGGCGAACAGTGGCGGGGGCGGTGGCGATGGGGCCAGGGGCGAGGGGACAGCGGGGCAGTCGTGGGGACAGTGGGACAGTGGTGGGGACGGTCGTGGTGGGGACAATGGCGAGGACAATGGGGAAAGTGGGGGCAGTGGGACAGTGGTGGGGACGGTGGTGGTGGGGGACAGCGGTGCGGGGACAGTGGGAACGCGGTGGAAACAGTAGGACAGCGGAGGGTACAGTGGTAGCGGGGGCAGTGGCGAAGGCGGTGGCGAGGACGGCGGTGGGGCAATGGGGCAGAGGTGCAGTGGGGACAGTGGTGGAGACAGTGGGGACAGCGGTGGGAACAGTGAGACAGCTCAGTGGTTCGAACCGGTAGTGACCCCCCCCTCCGGTTTTCGAGAGGGGGGGGGGTCGAACTGGCACCGGCCCCCCCCCCCGGTTCGAGTTCAGGGGGGGAGGGGGGTTAGGGGGGGGGGGGGTTTTGCCGGGGGAAGGGGGGGGGGGGGGGGGGGGGGATTTTCGGAGGGGGGGGGGGGCGGGTTCCGGAGGAAAAGGGCGGCAATTTTCCACAGTAAAGCGGCGGTGGATCACGCTCTCTCAAATCGCTTAAGGCCTTGGTGCTAAGTAGGCTGGGGAACTTCGCTAAACTGATCGGGGTCTGCGCTAAGTTTGATAGATTTTTCTGAATGTGTACGCTTTGTTTCCACGCTGTTCTTTTATTCTCAGTGGTTTCAATGGTTCTTTAAACAGTTATATTTAAGCTACAGTGCCACGCGTTATATATGTATATATATATATATATATATATCAGGAGTGTATTTTGTGTATTGCGCTTGCGTTTCGTTGAACGGCATGCGCTGCGTTCTAAAGAAGTTGACGCGCATGTTGGCGAAGGGAGGGCGCTGTCGAGCGCCGATGTCAAGGTGCACGATTCGCGCTGTCGCGCGCTCGCGCATGATTATATTTCCCAGGCGATTGACAATGCAGCGATGGTGGTGAGAGAGGACTGGCTGGCGTCGTCGTCGGGCGTTACAGCGCCTAAGAAAAAATGCTCGGCGACGATGGCGCAGCGGAGTCAATGCCTGCAACGCGCCGCCAAGGCAACCGTCGTAGAAGATCGCGTGTTCGCGAACAAGACTTGCTTCGAAGAACAACGGTACACCCTGAACGGCGCCGCGCGCGAATCGCGAGCGCTGCCGCGAAGCATCTAGACGTGGGCGCGACAATTCATTGCGTCACTCACAGCGCAGGTAAACTGAACTCGCCCAACCGTCAAGCTGCCCCCGTCGACGTCGTAGCACGCGAAGATCGCGCAGCTGAGCTGCGCGATTGCGGACGAAGCAAGTGGCTTCGCGGCGGATTTTCGCGCCAAATGCTTCGGCGCCCAGCGCGGCAGCCAGCAAAGACGCGATATCTGCGTCGCTGGATTTCGCCGGCGCGCCCGTCGCAGAGGGCGCGACCAGGCCTCGAGTTGTCCGATGGCGAGGCCCCCCTTCGAACTGCGCTCATGAGCCTTCTCGGCGCATCGATTGTTGAGGGCCTGTTTCGCGAGTTGATGCTCGCGCTCTAGAACGAGCGAGTTGAGCGGCTCACCGCGCGCGCGAAGGTGACCTGGCAGGCGCGCGGCAACGGGGCTCTTCCGCAGCCGCAGCTTCACGCCATGCGCCGCCTGCTGCTGATTCAGGCGCGCTGTGCTTGCGGCGCGCAACTGTGCTGGCGACGGCTCGTCGTCGCTCTGGCAGCGCTGCAATAGCGCCGGAACCTCCAGAAGCAACGACATGGAACGGCGCGCGCCTAGCCAATTGTTCTTCGGCTGCGAGACGTCGACCAAGTATTTCTCCAGCACTGGGGCAAGAGGGGCGTGTTCTGAGGTGGGGCCTGCGGCTGAACCGCCCTTGCATATGTCGCGCGCCTTGGCGCGCCCGCCTGGCCGCCGCCAGTTCTGCAAGTGCATGCGCGAGGTCGGCGCCCCCGGTCTATCCGTGA